TAGTTCCATTTTCATTGCACATTTTTATTCAGACTGCTTGCCCACGAATTATTCAAACTTTTTTATCCAAACCCAACTCAAATTGGATAACAGGTACCTGTATTTTTAAAACGAGTTCATAAAGCACGTGGCCAACTGTATCTTGAAATTAATAAACTATATGAAGTTCATTTCCCATTGTTATTATCTTTGCTGAGAGTGCACTGTTCCCCATCTGTTTATAACATCTCCTGTTCATTTTCTCACTTGCTGGCCTTGGGGTATCTACATAACTTTGTTTTCTCTAAGCTGTTCCTAATGCTGCACCTATATACTTCCTTCACGACTGGCACAGGTACAACAGATTAGCTAGATATATACCTACCACTAAGGCACCCAACCTTTACCAATCCCCACAGAAAGTCATGGATGCAAGTATTAAGTCGCCACTGTTGCTGTCTTACCTCTCTGGATGAAAGGCATCCAACAGTGATGACCCAAAAATACTCTGAAGAGAAAATTTTCACCTATTTACCAATCAATATAAAATATAAAATAAATACAGTAAATAAATGTGTGCCTGTAATTACCTAAGTGGAATTACCTTAATGTAGTTACAGGATGAGAGCTACGCTTGTGGTGTCATACTATGCTGGTGGTGGTGGTGGTGGTAGTGGTGGTTTGTGTGGTTGGGGTGGGGGTCTGTGGTGTGGTGGGGGGGGGGGTCTGTGGTGGGGGGGGGGGGGTCTGTGGTGGGGGGGGGGGTCTGTGGTGGGGGGGGGGGGGTGTGGGGGGGGGGGGGGTCTGGGGGGGGGGGGTCTGTGGGGGGGGGGGGGGTCTGTGGTCTGTGGGGGGGGGGTCTGTGGTGGGGGGGGGGTCTGTGGTGGGGGGGGGGTCTGTGGTGGGGGGGGGGTCTGTGGGGGGGGGGGTGGTCTGTGGTGGGGGGGGGTCTCTCGTGGTGGGGGGGGGGTCTGTGGTGGTGGTGGGGGGTGGGGGGGGTGGTGGGGGGGGGTCTGGTGGTGGTGGTGGTGGTCTGGGGGGGGGGTCTGTGGTGGGGTGGGGGTGGGGGGGGGGGGTGGGTCTGTGGTGGGGGGGGGTCTGTGTGGGGTAGTAGTGGTGGGGGGGGTGGTGGTGGTGGTAGTGGTGGTGGTGGTGGGGGGGGTCTGTGGTGGGGGGGGTGGTGGTGGGGGGGGTGGTGGTGGGTGGGTCTGTGGGGGGGGGGGGTGGTGGGGGGGGTGGTGGTGGTGGTGTGGGGGGGTGAGGGTGGTCTGTGGTGGTGGTGGTGGTGGGGGGGGGGGGGGTCTGTACTCACCTCGTTGTGCTTGCGAGGGTTGAGCTCTGGCTCTTTGGTCCCACCTCTCAACTGTCAATCAACTGGTGTACAGATTCCCGAGCCTAATGGGCTCTATCATATCTACATTTCAAACTGTGTATGGAGTCAGCCTCCACCACATCACTGCCTAATGCATTCCATTTAACTACTCTGACACTGAAAAACTTCTTTCTAATGTCTCTGGTACTTTCTAATTTGGGCACTCGGTTTCCACCTGTGTTCCCTTGTTTGTGTACCACCTGTGTTAAACAATTTATCTTTATCTACCCCTGTCGATTCCTCTTAGAATTTTATAAGTAGTGATCATGTCTCCTTGAGCTCTCCTGTCTTCCAGCGATATGAGGTGCATTTCACGCAACCTTTATTCTTAACTCATGCCTCTTCGTTCTGGGACTAGCCTAGTGGCATACCTCTGAACTTTATCCAGCTTAGTCCGGTGCTAAACAAGGTACAGGCTCCATGCTGGGGCCACATACTCCAGGATTTGGTCTGTGGTGGTGGGGTACCTGCTTGATGGGGTTCTGGGAGTTCTTCTACTCCCCAAGCCCGGCCCGAGGCCAGGCTTGATTTGTGAGAGTTTGGTCCACCAGGCTGTTGCTTGGAGCGGCCCGCAGGCCCACATATACCTGCTTGATGGGGTTCTGGGAGTTCTTCTACTCCCCAAGCCCGGCCCGAGGCCAGGCTTGATTTGTGAGAGTTTGGTCCACCAGGCTGTTGCTTGGAGCAACCCAGAGGCCCACATATCCACCACAGCCCAGTTGGTTTCACACTGCATGAAACTATCTAATTTTCCCTTTTTTTTTCCCTGTCCACGGCTGTTCCGGCAACCGTGGACATTGAGCGATCTGGAGTGGACTCCAATCCATTCCACTCCAATTGACAAAATTGATAAGGAAGAATCCCTGAGACATGGAACTTCAAAAACAGGAGGTCATAGATTTAAACCAAACAAAGCAACTGAAGAAATATAAGAAAATTCCTTTTTGCAAATAGGTGGTAGACATTTGGAACAAATTAAGTGAGGTGGTGGAGGCCAAAACCATCAGTAGTTTCAAAGCGTTATACAACAAAGAGTACTGGGAAGATGGGACACCACGAACATAGCTCTCATCCTGTATCTATCTTGAGGTTATCTTGAGATGATTTTGGGGGCTTAGCGTCCCCGCTGCCGGGTCTTCGACCAGGCCTCCTTTTTGTTACACATCCCCAGGAGGCAGCCCATAGCAGCTGTCTAACTCCCGGGTACCTATTTACTGTTTACTATTAAATTTGCTATTTACTATGGACTACAAATCATAAACGATATCCGTTCAACTGTGGGGGGGAAGTATGTGATGATGGTACGGATAGCAGTAGGGAGGTCCAGGGTGATGATGTATGTTAGTAATGGGGTGGTACGTAGTGATGGTTTATGGTGGTGGGGTAGTGGTAGTGTGGTATGTGGTGGTGGTGATGGGGTGGTGTGTGGTGGTGGTGGGTTGGTATGAGGTGGTATGTGATAGTGTGTGGCAATCAACAATATTGTGTTATTACACGTGGACTATACATATGCCCAATTTGTGGCAACTGTATATTTTTTTTATCAAAAGTCTACAGACAGTGAGTTAAGATCCAATATTTTAACTAGTGTATTGTTCATGAAAACTGTGCCGAGATTTTTTAAATCGCCACACTGGCTGGGCTGCTAAACAAAGATGTGTGCCATTCTTTCAAGATTTTATTCATTTAGTCATCATCCAGTTTGAAACTTTATATGTAAAGAAACAATATTGTAGAATATTAGTACAGTATTCTGATTTTACACATGCAAACGTTTTGCATATAATTCCTATCCACTTGGACGGCTTTCTATACCTTTACCATTTCTTCAAATCTGTTACGATTAAGCTTTTGCTCTATTTAATCTATGTAAATTAAATTTCCCTCATTTGGATGTGTGTGCTGGTAGTCAATCCGAGACAAATTTTCCTGGAGTCCACAATAGTATTTCCACATTGTATAAATTGTAAGCTCGCACAATCAGAGGTAATAATATTTCATTCACTTGAACCATAGTAGGTTATCTTGAGGTTATCTTGAAATGATTTCGGGGCTTTTAGTGTCCCCGCGGCCCGGTCCTCGACCAGGCCTCCATCCCCAGGAAGCAGCCCGTGACAGCTGACTAACACCCAGGTACCTATTTTACTGCTAGGTAACAGGGGCAAAGGGTGAAAGAAACTCTGCCCATTGTTTCTTGCCGGCACCTGGGATCGAACCCAGGACCACAGGATCACAAGTCCAGCGTGCTGTCCGCTCGGCCGACCGGCTCCCGAGAAGGGTTAAAATCTAGCCTAAAAAATGTCTTTACTCTGCCAACCATTATAGGACTGGTGGGGGAACCTATTACCAGCTAAGTAGTCTCTAGGACCTTTTTATTTTAAGCATTTTGGCATTGTAGGTAGAACATTGAAATTCATATTTTACAAGACTGAGTTTAATGCTCAGATAATAAGAGAGATTAACTGTCATTACTGTACTCATAAGACTGATGGTTTTAAAATTATGACAATGATAAAGAAATGGGTACAAATAGTCACTGATATGGTGCTCAAGGTTTAAAACTCCAACTGACAACCAGATAGATGGTTTGGTTGGTACAGTAGTGGCTTTGTATTTTTCAGTCCTGCATTTAATCCCTCAATGGTTCAAATGAATGAAATATTACGCACAATTTGTGGAATTTGAAATGCACACAATGTAGATGATGGATGGGTGGATGTGGATATGTATAAGTATTCACAAGGAAAGAAATGAAACAGAGCTTTCACATATTAAAACATTTTCAAGAACACTTGGTGTAAACCTGAAAATGTGTTTATATAAAAAAATACTCAGATATTTAGTTTCTATTACATTGTGGATACTAATGCATAACTGAATCCCATATTTGTGTGATTATTCTTGCATAAATGTTAGAAAATCCTAGTCAGATTCTGAAAAGCTAAAAAAAAAAAAAAATTCTAAAGAAATTTCATTACTGCAGTTGTGAGCATGATGGAAATGTAAACATATGACTAAATTAATTATAATGGAAATTTACGTACTAAATGAAATAGTTCTACAAGTTACATAATAATAATTTCCAACACATATTTTTGCAATATACAGTACTCTCTAAAAAAAATAATCTGTGAAAAACTTTCCAAGCCATCATTATAAATGAGTCTACTCTCAGAATTCATTTAGCATCAGAACATGTGTGAAGTAGTTTGGTACAGATATGCTTATTCAATATTTGTTAACGGTCAAAGTGTCCCCCGCCCCAACGATGTGTTAAAATGCTTTTAAACTCACCAAGGAACTACATAGCCCAATAGTAATAAAAAACTTCCTTCCTTGCACCCCTGTACGCATGTGTCGAGTTTCATGCAAATACACGATAGTATTCTCCAGACATTACATGGACACCAATAAACAAAATCATCCTATGAAAGATATAGCATATTCTTATTGGAGATAAGTAATTATAAATATCAATGCCATTCTTAACTATGATTAGTGTCCGTAATGAAACACTTTTCATTAGTGGCTTTAATGTTACTTTAAAATTATATGTGTTTGGGTTCTTTCAGGTTAACTTTGATGAATACTGAACAACAAAATTTAAAATAACTAAAAAAATTATAATCAATGACGCATCACAGCAAACCTTGAGAGTTAGAGGGGCCAAAAGGCGTTCCTTAGGTGTTGTGGGATGAGCAGAGGATGAGGTGAAGTGTTGTGGTGAAGAAAGAGGGGCAGTTGCACTATCTGGTGTGCCTGTGCCTTGTCTGGCAAACACCTGTTTGCCAGCCAACGGTTTAACACCTGGAACAGCAGTGACTGGAACACTATTACAGACAATAGATGAAGATTTAGTTAACGACTGGTTGGTTTTAACAATGGATGTAGTGGTGGTCTTGACAGCTGGAGTTGAAACACTCTCAGAAGACGCTGGGGACGTTCTGGAAGTGGTGGAAACTGCTGAAACCCTAGGAGCAAATGTTGTGGTATTCTTTATGGCGGGAGCTGCTACAGTCTTGACCGTGGGGACGGCTGTGGTGACATTGAACGTTGCAGTACCTGCAACAGTTACACTCTTATCTTGTCTGGATGTACGAGTATCGCCACTGTGCTTGTTCTCCTTACTCTTCCTGCTTCCTACACTTTCCCTGCCCCTACTCGGTGCTTCCTCGGGCGAGTGAGCTGCAGGAGTAGCACTTGCTGCCTCAGATGGTGCAGCAGATGCTCCTATAGTTTCTGCCAGATGAAATGCAACATGTTAGGTGCATCTGTATTCTGCAACTGGCCTTTCATTACTACATAGTCTAAACAAAACATTAACATATACATAAGTAAACAAAACACTATATCAGTCAACGCTTCCATAAAAGTTATAAAAAACATATAAAAAAACAATGTCTCATTACTCAGCATATCACAAGGCCAACCCAACTACTTGCGTGCCGGGATTCTAAGTTTTAAATTTCAAGCTTATAATTAAAAATTCAACATTTATGAGATCATATTTTTATTACAAGCTTACTGACTTTGATTACAAGATTAAAATGTAATATATACACATATATAAATTTATATATATATAATATATATACATACATATATATACATATACATACATATATACATGCATATATACATATATATATACAACTGAAAATATACACACACACATATTGGTGTATACTGGCAACAGGTCATTTATGCATATCTCACCGAATATGACAGCATATTCCGTATTAACTATTTTCTGATTTAGGGCTTCTATCCCTCTTACTAGTACTCTTGCAACAGGGTTCAGCTGGAAGAGGAGTTCACCAAAAGTCATGTTCGTTTACAAGGTGAAGAAAAAGAATTGAATAACTGAAGAATGTATTACACCTATTGTAAAGTCTCACGACGTTTCGAACCTGCACGGTTCATTCTCAAGTGATGCTACAGTACAGAACATTATATTTTATACTAATAGTGGGTCAAGTGAATACAAATGGATCGAACAATGGAGTCAGGTGTAAACAATGGGTAGACATGAAAGAAAAGCTAAGGAACAGAAGGTTAAATAGAGTACATACAAAGATTAATCAAGCATAGTGAGCGTTGTTTGTCAAGCAGTGTCTTCTATGTTGACATCTTGACGTTCCGGTCTTGTTCTTACTCTCATGGTGGGTAGAGTGAATAGTTTTGTAATTTGAGTATTTATGGCAGGTTGTTCTACTTTTATGTGGATTGCTTCAAGAATTTGTAATCTTACATCTTGGGTTTCGTCTATTATACAAATGTTTTTATTCAACATTTCTCTTGTTAGGATGATGTTTTGGGCTTGTCTCATGTGATTCCTGGGGCCACCGGATAAGATAACAGGTCAAACACCTCGTTAGCTTGGTCGACATCATACCTATGTACTTTGAAGGTTACATCCTTCATGGGGGCAGGTGTACATGTATACAACGTTTGACTGCTGTAAAGGGTTCTCCATCGGCTTCGGGCTGTTTTTGATAAGGAGGCCAGTAGTCATCTTTGTTTTGTAGAATATGATCAGGTCTATGTTTTGGTTAGGAGTAATGCTTTTTACTCCTTTACAGATTATTTTTTTCATTACTCTTTCTTCTTTTTTGTGCTCACTGTGCATGGTTGATTTGTAATATAATTTTATTGGAGGTATTGTGGTTTCTGTTCTAGGTTCAGGATTGTACCATCGGTCCAAGTGTCTTCTTATAGCAGCGTTTATTTCCGTGTTGCTATATCCATTGTTCACCAATATAATAGTTATTCTTTCTAATTCTCTACTCATGTTGCTCCATTCGGAGCAGTGGGTAAGTGCTCAACGAATATAAGCATTGAGAACATTGGCTTTGTATCTTTGGGGGCACTCACTTTTAACGTTCAGGCATAATCCTATGTTGGTGGGCTTAGTATATACGTTGGTGCTTAAAGAGGTTTCTGTTTTTGTTATTAGTACATCCAAGAATGGCAAACTGTTATTTTTACTATTTTCATGTGTAAATTGGAGCACTGACTCTCTCTTTAGATGGCTTTTTAGATCAATTAGTTCATCCAAGTCTTTTACTATGACGAATATGTCATCTACATAACGGCAATATACAGTTGGTTTTTGTCTGCTACTGAAGACTTCTGAAGACTACTGACGTCTTCGATGGTTTCCATATAAAAATTAGCAAATATGGAATCATCGCTTCCCTGGCCGTCGAATCCCTATTTACCAACATCCCAGTCAACACAGCCATAGAAATGATACTGGACAGAGTATACAGATGAGAGCACCCCCAAATTAGACATACCCGAGCCACACTTGAAGAGTCTTCTCGAGGCATGTACAAAGGAAGCTCCTTTCATCAGTCCGCAAGGGAACATGCATCTACAAATAGACGGAAAAGCAATGGGCTCCCCCTTAGGAGTGTTATTTGCTAATTTTTATATGGGAACCATCGAAGACGTCAGTAGTCTTCAGAAGTCTTCAGTAGCAGACAAAAACCAACTGTATACTGCCGTTATGTGGATGACATATTCGTCATAGTAAAAGACTCTGATGAAATAATTAATCTAAAAAGCCATCTAGAGAGAGAGTACTCAAGAGTTACACATGAAAATAGTGAAAATAACAGTTTGCCATTCTTGCATGTACTAATAACAAAAACAGTAACCAACCAGCTTTAAGCACCAAGCCTAAACCCACCAACATAGGATTATGCCTGAACATTAAAAGTGAGTGCCCCCAAAGATACAAAGCCAGCGTTCCCAATGCTTATATTCGTCAAGCGCTTACCCACTGCTCCGAATGGAGCAACGTTAGTAGAGAGTTTGAAAGAATAACTCTTATATTGGTGAACAATGGGTATACAGTACCAACACAGAAATAAACGCTGCTGTAAGAAGACACTTGGACCGATGGTACAATCCTGAACCTGCAACAGAAACCACAATACCTACAATAAAATTTTATTACAAATCAACCATGCACAGTGAACATAAAGAAGAAGAATGTGTAATGAAAGAAATAATCCGTAAAGGAGTAAAAAGCATTACTCCTAACCAATACATAGACCTGATCATATTCTACAAAACAAAGAGAACTACCGACCTCATTATAAAAAACGGCCCAAAGCTAAATGAACACCATTTACAGCAGTCAAACATTGTATACATGTACACCTGCCCCCATGAAGGATGTAACCTTCAATCTAAATGCATAGGTATGACGTCGACCAAGCTGATGAGGCGTTTGACCTGTCATCTTCAATCCAGTGGCCCCAGGAATCACATGAGACAAGCCCACGATATCATCCTAACAAGAGAAATGTTGAATAAAAACACTTGTATAATAGACAAAACTCAAGACATAAAAAGATTACAAATTCTTGAAGTAATCCACATAAAAGCAGAACAACCTGCCATAAATACTCAAATTACAAAACTATTTACTCTACCCACCATGAGAGTAAGAACAAGACCGGAACGTCAAGATGTCAACATAGAAGACACTGCTTGACAAACAACGCTCACTATGCTTGATTAATCTTTGTATGTACTCTATTTAACCTTCTGTTCCTTAGCTTTTCTCTTTCATGTCTACCCAATGTATACCCATTGTTTACACCTGACTCCATTGTTCGATCCATTTGTATTCACTTGACCCACTATTAGTATAAAATATAATGTTCTGTACTGTAACATCACTTGAGAACGAACCGTGCAGGTTCGAAACGTCGTGCGATTTTACAATAGGTGTAATACATTCTTCAGTTATTAAATTCCTTTTCTTCACCTTGAAAATGAACATGACTTTTAGTGAACTCCTCTTCCAGCTGAACCCTGTTGCAAGAGTACTAGTAAGAGGGATAGAAGCCCTAAATCAGAAAATAGTTAATAATGAATATGCTGTCATGCATATAATATGCAATGAGACATGTATATACTGTATATACATACATATATATACTGTATAATAAATAATAATATTTATAATGATATATCAATATATAGCAGTCATTCTTCTAAACACTGTTGTTCAATATGACGGAAAGGGTAAGATTAATGATTAACAAATTTTCACAATACAGGTGTACAATATTTCTTATACATACATGTATTTTTCTTCACTGTTGAGGGAAATCCAAAAATTAACTCTCCAAAGTTCATTTTCACACTATATTATGGTCTGACGCCCGATACATTTCACAAGGTACAACTTACTTTTTCCAAGACAAAGTAAGGGTGAGGTGGTAAAGAACAAGTTGATGAAAGGCATAACATAGGAGGTATTAGTTGGGTATTAAATATATTAACATGGGTACCGTATGTTTCTAAGGGTAGAGTCATTGGATGCTGTCTTTGCATTGGCTCAGGGTCTTGAAGAGGGTAGAATGTAATTGTGTTAGCTGGTTGTTGATTGCTGGTCTGGTCTTCTTAATATGTAGGGCCTTGCTGATGTCCAGTCTTCTGTTGTCGTTATACCTGTCAATTATTTCAGTGTTGCTTGTCAAGATGTCTCTGGTGATGATCTGGTTGTGTGAAGAAATTATATGTTCCTTGATGCAGCCCTATTGTTTGTGCATTGCTAATCGCCTAGAGAGAGACGCCGTTGTCTTGGACTCTCGCCTCGGTGATTGACAATGCAGAAAAAAACAGGGCTCCATCAAGGAACATAAAATCTCCACACACAACCAGACCATCACCAGAGACATCTTGACAAAAACACTGAAATAACTGACAGGTATAACGGCAGCAAGAGACTGGACATCAGCGAGGCCCTACATATTATGACGACTAGACCAGCAATCAACAACCAGCTAACACATACTCGTAATTACATTCTAGCCTCTTCAAGACCCCGAGCCAATGCAAAGACAGCATCCAGTGACTCCCATTCTACTCTTGGGAACATAAGCTGCCCATGTTAATAAAGTGTGAAAATGAACTTCTGGGAGTTAATTTTACAACTTGCAAGTTTGGTGAGTAAATTTCAACCTAAGAAATATTGAGAAGATTCGTGTTAGAATCATTAATCTCTACCCCCTTTCAGTCGTATACATACATACATATACAGTATGTGTACTGTATGTAGGTTGTTGAATATGACCGAAAGTGTAAGATTAATAATTCTAACACGAATCTTCTCAATATTTCTTATGTTTTTCTTCACTGTCGAGGGTAATTGAAAAATTAACTCTCCAAAATTCATTTTTTTACATTTTTATTTTTGGTAAGACCAAAAATAAAAA